CGATCCCAATACGAAGTTCGCGAACATCAGGGATATCCATCGGGCTCAAATCGAAGCGGGTGAAAAGGAGGTTATCACGGCTGAATCCAGCGACTCTGAATGCCCTAGTGAGGCTGGCAGCTGTATTGTAGTGGGTGTGGTTGAGGATCAATAGTTAATAGTAATGAGGAGGTTGGGTTGTGATCCCATCGTTTTTGTGGTGCCAGAAACAGGGGGGTGCCAGGAAGTGGGTATGTTGACTTATACTTTCCCTATGGAATCCCGGAATCCAAGAGACGAACCCCGTATCCGTATCCGCTGTGATTGGCGGCAGCAGTCCGGCTGACCGGCCACACATCAGGCACACACAATCCGAGCCTTGCGATCCTTCTACCAGCTTACGTTTTCCGGACGATGACTTCAACCCGCGATTCAGTTGTGGTGTGTTGCGGCTGGTACGTGGTATGCAGCGTCGGTGAATCGGCCTTACGGTCCATGTACGCCTCACTCAAAATACTATGTGCCGGCTGCTTACCGGCTTCCTACCGGCCTTCCTCCCAGTCATTTTCCCACGCTGTGGATGTTTCATTGGGTGCCATATTTCGCCCATTCCGATTAAAGATGATAGCGCAAGGAGACCGGGTACGTCGGACGGTCATCTCATCTTCCACAGGCTGTCACGAAGCTGCCTCAGAACGTCAAAACCCTTTGACCGTCTGGGGCGTGATAGGTCGCATCCCATGGGAAGTGGCTCAATTGAGGGGGTATGCTCGTCGTCTTTTCAACCCACTGCCCAAAGTTCAAGATCTGACTATAAGAAAAATCATAGCGGGTGTAGTGGAAAAAAGGGATGGTGCATGTATCCGCGCGGGCGTGTGGCGGGCAGACCCTGTCGCTGAAACCCCTTCTCTAACTCTATCAACTTGCACACAGATCCGAGTGACGCACGCCACGAAGAGGATCTTGACACGGCTATGTTCTGTTTCCGGGATGACCAGACAGCAAGCCTCCTTGGAAGGACCGCACACCACCTTTCAGGGTAATCAAGTCGTCAATGTTCCCAGCCGACTTTTCCGACCGGGGCCTGGGTTGCACCAAATCCTTGCTCTGTTTAAGCCTCCGCCCCTCCCCTTCAACAGGCAGTTGTCAACCTCATATCTTGAGGTGGTGTAAGGTGACAAGTCTGTCTTTTACTCTCCATGTGCTAGCGTTCTTTTGATTCTTGATTCCTTTTCGAGATCGGCCATCAAGGCATCTGACATACTCTCCCACGATACCACATGCTGGCATGGCTTAAAACTCATTCTCATCGCATCTGAGAGAACCCTTGAGAGGCATACGAGGCCCTCAATCATCTCACGCACCAACATGTGGCTTCTTAAAGCCGCTACGATAGCGGCAGCAGCTGCAGCAGCAGGTCTTCCACTTGGGCCTCTGCACCCAGTTCAATTAGAAGAGAGACAGCTTGCCGATGCAACTTCTTTCATCGCGGAGCTCCCAACTGGACAGCAACAAGCTGATCCAACATCGACAACAGCGGCCGTTGCAACAACTCCACCTCCTCCACCCCCTCCACCGCCGCCTCCCCCGCCAACCTCAACATCGACAACGTCGACTACTACGCCGCCGCCTCCACCTCCACCGCCAACGACGACGTCTACATCGATATCGACCCCGGCGCCAACAACTGTAATAATATCTTCGTCCGTGGCAACACCTCCCCCGCCGCCGCCACAAACGACATCAACGACATCGCAAGCTCCTTCTACTACGGTAGCACCCCCAGTATTTTCTCCGCCCCCGGCACCGACAACGACAAACCAAGTAAGGACAACGACATCGATGCCGATCGCTCTTCCGGCCAGCACGACTGGCGCTGCAGTACAGCAGCCTCCTCCGCAAGGAGCAGGGTCAGCCCAGCCTCCAACCGAGAGACTCGTTGATCCCGCTCAAGGCGCTTTCATCGGCGGCGACCCCACGACTAACATCGATGTACCGGTCACTTTCCTCTTCCTGCTGCTCTTCGCGGCTGGTGCGTACACGCACATTAGGATCTACCGTGCCAATGCCAAACGCGGTCACAAGTTCCTGCTATCCGATCTCATGTTCGATTTCTGCATGGTCAGAACTGTCACTTGTATTATGAGAATTGTCTGGGCTTTTGAGAAGGGCCGAGTTGTGATTCTCGTCGCACTAATCGTCCAGTTCGGAGGGTAGGTCTTTCATCGAATATCCACACCCAAAGTACTGTTACTAACTTCGTCATAGAGCTGTCGTGGTGATGGTGGTCAATATCTTCTTTGCTCAAAGAATTGTTCGGTCAATCCATCCTCACTTTGGATGGCATCCCGCCTTCCGGGTCTTCATCCTTTTCTTCCTTTTCTCGGTCCCGGCCGTGGTTGTCTCGAACAGTACGTCAATTGGTGTCTCGTTCTTCAAGATTGAGGACCAGGACCGTGTCGACACCGCACTCAATGTCCTCAAAGCTGGTGTCTCGTGGATCATGCTTCTCGCGGTCCTGCCACTCATCATCGTCATCATTGCAGCAGTGATTCCTGGACCTAGACCCGAGAGATTCGGGCAAGGTGATACTCATCAGAAAATTGCCGTCCTCTTCATTGGCGCCATCCTGCTAATTGGTGGTCACGCGGTGCGTCTTGCGGCGACTCTGATGGCCGAGCCACCCAATACACCAAACAAACTCTTCAGCAAAGAAGTGTTTTACACCACCGGTTTCATGTTGGAGATTTTTGTTGTGGTTTTCTATGCAGTTGTCCGCATCGATCTCTTGTTCCACGTCCCCAATGGATCGAAGGGCCCGGGAGACTACTCCAGGAAGCCGAAGCCTGGTGAAGAAGACTACGAGGCTGCACTCCTCACCAGAGAAGAAATCGAAGATGAGCTAGCCGGACTAGGCCACCCGTATGAAGTTGTCGACTCTTCCGGCCTGGGCAGAGATGGCTCTGGCCGCACCATTGTCGCCTTCAGCACAAGACGTATGAACGGCGAGAAGCCTGTCGTACTACCGCCCAGACCAGAAGCATACAGCCGTGTCAGATCGATCCGTGGGTCTGTCAGGTCCATGCGTGGCTCCATGAGGTCTGCTGGCGGTGGCATCTCTCGGATGATGTCAGTGCGCAGGTCTGCTGCCGCGCCGTATTTGAACGAGGTCGAAGTCGGTCAGCCCGAGTTCAGAGACAATCCTTTCCAAACACCACCAGTCAGTCATTACGGTGTAGCACAGCCGCTGTTCATTCAGTCGCGCTTCAGCAGATACACGGATCCAGAGGATGCGAGGACACCTTTGCGACCAGAAAGTCAGGCGACGTCTGGAGAGATCCCGCTGAGTCTTGATCGGGAAGGTCTCGGCCCTTACGAGGGACGGCCTCTTGCTCGACGGTCATCAGTACAAAAGTTTACAGCACAGGAGAGGGAGGGAAACCCCCTGAAGTAGAGGGCTTATGAGTATGAATCTAGACAGTACATGTAGTGGGAAACAGGAAAGGATACTAGCGGGATCAACTTGGTTGCTGGAATGACAGCATAATGGAGTTCCAATATATATTTGCCAATTATTGTATATAGTAATACAAGTTAGTGTATAAATCTTCATGTTGTTGTGCGCAAGGCAAATCTTTCCGTGAATCCCTACCGGATGGACGGAAATGTTTAGAGTTACTGAATCCTATGATGTGTTTTAAATGTCTCTACTGTTGATCTTGCCCCATCTTTGCCACATAGCCTACGTGTTGTACACTGGAGATGCAACGGCCAGTACCACACGTAAGAGTAGATTGGTGAGAGAGAACATTGAGCGAGCGCTCTACAGAACCGATTAAACGAAATTTGTCTCTCTGAAGTTCAAGGTATATTAATTTCGAGAGAGATTCTCCAATTTTCATATGACGACCGCTTAGCATGTTCGTGACGGACCCTGCCGCAATACATCACCGCGCCCATGTCCAAACTCCTGCTTGATCGTACACATTCCTATCCTTGCTTTAATGCTTCCTAAGGCCGAGCAATCCCATTAGTCCACCTAAGAGTCCTCCTCCACCACCTGGTCCCGCCGCCGGAGCTTCTGCTGGAGCCTCCGGGGCAGCAGCAGGAGGGGGTGGGGGATTTTCGATAACAGTCGCTAGCCCAACGGCAGTCCCATCCGGCATAACGGCTTGGCAAACAGTCGTGGCACCGGGAGGGGCGGCCGGTGGACCTGGAGGGGGTGCGGCGGGAAGAGGCGCGACAGAAGTGCCACCAAAGACGCCAATGCCTTGGTCCAGAACGGTGCTGAGAGCCGTTGCGCTCTTTTGCGCATCACCATTGAGTTCGGGAGGGACCTTGCTGACGAGAGCTTGGGCAAGGGCGACACTAGCAGACTTTTGATCCTGAAGAGCAACAGCCACCAGCGGTGTTGCGCCCAGAGAGTCAACCAGAGACTTCTTCGCTACAACGTCGTTGATGGTGACCTTGACGTTGTTTGTGAGAGCGTCCGTGGCAGCCTTGAGGTTGAGCGCATCCTTTTTGTTGAGGACTTCGGATCCCTGGACCTGAGTGGTGGCGTCTTCGATGGAACTCTTCACGTTGCCGACGGCGTTCAAAAGCTGGATTCCGCCACCGAGGGTGACCGTGTTCGTGGCCTTCACGGAGTTATCAAGACTTTGAAGTGCTGAGTTGATAGTGTTTAGAGCAGCTTGAATCGTTGCCAGGTCGCGCCTGTACTTGGCATGTTGTATAGAGACAGGAGCGGCGAGAACTGTAACCGCAGCAAAGGTAAAGGACAACAGAGAACGTAGTAACATCGTGAGCCTGCCGGAAGCCCGTCTCCTTAGACGAAAAGGATTGAAGTTCTGCTTCCTTTAAGATTAAAGAGAGTGTGGTGGGGAGAAGACAAACGAGGAGGAACTTCAGATCGTTCCAGCTCGGTGGGTTTGGATTATGAGTTGACGGATAGTAGGTGGGCAAGGAGTCTGTGAATGAAGTTTGGACACGACTACGACGTCCATATAACGCGAGTGAGAGGGAGGTGATGGCAGGGCCAGGCCCATCCTAAAGCGACTTGGCTGCCGCAGGTCCCGATGTCACCAATAAGCCTAGCCTGAAATTTGGGATTGCCGGCTCTTTCATGAGGCAAAGTTGAGACGGTCTTGACTTTCGGTGTGGGAGCAGTGACATCCGTGATGTGAGTGGAGGGTTATTTCCTGCAGGCTGTCTCCTATCAACAGTCTGGGGCCAAGGTTGTAGGAGGTTGTGCAAGATGAAGCCATGGGTACGGCGTTGTGATGGCCGGCGAGCTGCGCGATTTGGTAATGCGAGCCACATGCATTTCATATCGGTTCCCTAAAGAAGCAACTTAGTTCGAGTTCTAGTTTCAGGTACCGAAAGTCCAGACGATTCAGACCACTTGAGTTGGATATGCTGGATATGTTATCTTCTTACTCCCACCGGCTCGGTTTTCAAGACGACATTGCATCCATACCGCCGACTCAATAATGCAAAGTACACTAGGTGCTTGGCTGCAGCCCTTGACGACCTGACATTCTACCTAATGTTCCTACGTTCATGCATTCTCCGTCATGTTGAATTCCCTTGGTAATATCGAGGTATAGAACAGTTAGACCACGAATGTGACGTGAGGGGATATCGCCGAGTCAGGCATTATCAGCTCGGACTCCCCCATATCATGTCATCGAATGAGTTTCCCGATTCAATGTTGATACAACCTTGACTCTACCCAGACCGTCTCAACTCTTTCTCGTTTTCGTTTCACAACTCGCACAGGCTTTGTTTCCTCTAGCAGGGCATTTATATGGTCTAATTCCGATCCGTGAAATGATCAACCCATGGCAGGGAAGGGGGGAAGCAGGGCTTAGTTGACAGCGGTCCCCTAGACTAAAGTCAAAGTCTCCAACCTGTCATCGTCCAACCCAGAAAACGGCTTTGGGATTTCGTCATCCTCGAAGTTCAGGATACGAGCAGTTCCGACCACTTCGAACTCCTCGCCTCGTGGTCGGAGAATCAGCTCTTCCATTAACCCGGCCCCGAACACCGGCACGTCACCGGTTTGGACTGGGCCGTCGCACACTGCCAGCATGCCCTGGCCAACCAGGCAAAGGCTCAGGCCCTGACAAGCCAGCAGGACTCTAGACGTGGTGTCAATGTCTGTCATATTCTCGTTCATCATTGACCAGCCAATGGACTGTGCATTGGGTCTCTCGCAGCCTCCATGCGCGCTCACGCATCGTCCACGCCGAGAAGCGGATTTGACTAGTTTTTTTGTCGACCGTTGTCCTTCGGCAGTGAAACCCATCATGAGCCCCTTGTAGAAGTTTGTCCACCAAGTCTGTGTGATATCCGCCTTGGGTTTGAATTCATCGTCGCTTGTCTTTTCGGTTGCTAGACTCGCGATGAGAGCAAGTAAGGCTTCGGCACCACGTCTTCGAGACGGAAAGAATTCTAGGCTCTCAGCAAAGAGAAACCATTGAGCTACTGCGGGTAGGACTAGATCTTTGATATCTTCGCCATAATTCACCGTCGTTGAAAGGTATCGTGCGTTTGGTACATGGAATCCGCTAATCATTGTCACAGGCGGCAGGCGTCGAGCCCTGATTAATAATTGTCCGGTGTTGCGTCCGCTTTGTAAGAGGCCAATTGCCGAAACCTCTTCAGCGATGATCGGTGGAGGATTCGAAAGCAGGTCCCACTGATCTTTAAAACCTCCAGGGCTGAATTGGCTGAAGTCTGGAACCCATGATGGCAGTCCGTCTACTTTGTCTTCGCTAGACCCCATATGCAAAACCCAAAATGAACCCGAATGAAGGCAGAGAGCCAATGCGAGGTCCTCATATACTCTAGTGACGGGTTTCGTGTAATCCGGATTCGGCACGCTGATACCGAGCCTTCCGAGAAGGTTATAGAGTGAAAAGCTCTGGTCGCGTTTGTCCATTGCATTTCTCCTTCTGATCGTCTTTATCAACCGGGTTGCGAGATAAGCAGAGGTCAGCTTTGGGATATTCGAGTTTTCCTGCTTCTCTCCGAGTAAGACTGAGCGATAATTCATTTTCATCCCGAAGCTGTCTGCGAGATTGACTAAATCAAGCTCGTTTCTTCGGTGGCCAAACTTGCGACCCGCGAGAGTAATCCAGTGCTTTAGACACGCATTCAAAGATTCCCAAGAAAGGGATGATTTTCCTAGCGTGACAACCACATGCTCAGATAAGCATAGTTCTTGCAGCGTCCATGTCCTTGTAAACCAAGGGACCTTGATCAGAAGCTCGATGGCTTTTAAGACGTTTCTGCTTGGAACTACGTTCGTATAAGTCTCAGCTCCAAGAACAAGCACGGCATGTGCGGCCTTCACGGCTGGTTCCGCAAGGTTGTGCGTAAGAGGTATAACTCACGTCGCGGTGTCGAGCGCTTTGCCTCCGGCGAAGCTCTCAGCAAGAGTCCGACCCATCTACATCGTCGAAACAATGAGAGCAGTAAGTTACCGGGTGACTCATCCGTACCAATCCAAACAACTGTGCGTGCGGCGAATCTGTACACATCTCCCATCAAAGCCACCTGGACGTTTTTCTCCGGAATACTGGACTGGTCGATACAGATTGCATCAATCCAGAGCAAACGTTCTCGATCGGAATACCGCAAATGACGCAAAGCCTCTAAACAGTTCTTCGTGACGTCAACACGGCAACCGTTGCACCGTATCGGGTGCTCGCCACGTCTCCCGCCCCAGACGTACGAGAGCGCTTCGTATGGTGTTGTCTCCTGCGATGAGCTTCCTAGTCGTACCTCTCTCAAAGCGCATTGAATTGGATCGTCCAACTCGATTGATGGACTCAAAATGACAATGCGGATTGATCTCTCGCAGTTAAGCGGTGCATACTGCAAGAACGGAAGACTATCGGCGGCGACATTCGCTGAAAGTGACATGATGAGCCAATATGAAATGACAAAGTTCAAACCTCAATATCTGGCTACTTGAGATGCGGGATCACTACGAACTTAGTCCAGAAATGCTAAAGATTGGAAATGAGGTGAACAGGAAGCCAGACGGGGGAGCTTACATGTGGACAGATACTAAGTGTCTCATGTCGGTACGAGTATCAGGAGCCCAGAAACTCATCTTAGACAGCTGTAGGCGAGATTTGCAATCTTCCAAAGAAAACCAGTTTGTACAGGCAAGCCTGTGGCTGAGTACTCAACTGTCTGCCTTGCCACGTCTGACATGCATTCTGTCGCATGATCAGAAGCGAATGGCTGCTTGTGACGAAAACACACTACTGCAAGCTGCCGCCACATTCACGAAATGACCAAAAGTAAGCCAATGAAGTTCAAGCAAAAGGGGAAAGATCTCTGTTTTCTGCCGCGGCGATGATTTACAGTGGCCCAGTCCCCGTATCTATGCAGAGTAAGCAGCTGGCGGCATCAATCTCAGGTCGCCATCATAGGCGCGTAAGGCAGCCTAATCTCGAATGAATCGGAAAGACTGCAAAGAGATTGCTGAAAAGGGGCATTTTCCACCAGCAAATTCTTGCTCTCTTCATTTTTCCAAACGCAAGAACTGGCAACACATAAGTTTGCTTGAGTAACTTTAGAGGATATCATGGCAGAACCCAAGCCTCCAGGCGGCGAGCCGCTTCTGAGCACTGGACAGACAACCAACAAGCTCGGAACAGCAGTTGAGAAACGAGAGTCAGAATCCAGCTCAGAGAACATTCCAAAGTCTGACTCCTCCGCCCAACAAGACACCGACGATGACTCTGATAGGGACTCCAATTCCGGCGAAGACCATGAGCCCAGCAAGAAAGCCGTCCAAAATCTTTATGAAGGCAAGAAGGAATGCAACTGCTGCATCAACTGGGTTGAAGAAGAACCAGAGAACAAGAAGGAGGCTGCGACCGGCACAGTCATCACAGTTCGCCGCAACCGAGACCATGAAAAGGAAAAGTCGCTTTCATTGCATTCCATCTTGGTGCACAGCGAGCAATTGAAGGATACTTTGCGAGACGTCCTCCGCGGCACTGGTTCCGCCATCACTTCTAGGGATTTCGTTCTTGAGCGGCCTTTTGAGAACGTCTTTCACCAATGGGCGGCGATGACAGAAATGTTTAAGAAGTCAGAAGACAAGGATGATTTGCAGCATTTCAAGTTGCTTTACGAAGTCTTGTCCACAGAACTAGGCGACTTCTTCGACGAGGTGAACGACCTCCTGTCTAATAGCTTGATCACATATCCCCTTCTCTGGACAATCTTTCCTCGTGGCGAGATCTGTCTCGCCCTAGACGATTTGGGACAGGCTGTTGCTGTGAGAGCTCTCAATGGTGCATACTCGAAAGAGGGTTACCGGCTCAAATGTGACTTCATCGACACGGATGGCAAGACTTTTGGACTTGCAGGCACATGCTTGGAAATACCTGGCTTCAAGGACGCAGCATCAATCGCGAGCTTACCTGTCAGCCCTCTCAAGTACAACCCAGAGGCAGAGGGGATCAAGGAAATTCTGGTTCGTCGAGGAAGGCGCTTTGCAGAGCTCTCTGGCTTCCATCACAAGAAGTGCAACGGTCAAGAGTGGCACATTGGGCGCAAAGACGCTTGGCTGCCAAGAAAGGTATGCTAGTCGCCCGCCCTGATCTCTTTTCCCACCTTACTCGTTGCTAAGACATTCGGCAGTCAACCGGGCGTATTATCATTGACCCCGAGACATTCGACGATAACAACCCTGCTAAGGCCGTGTTTCTGAGACCCTTGAGTTCAGACCAAAACGACGTGACTTCATTTGCAAGATCTTTCAAACTAGTCAGGGATAGCGAGTTTTTGTTGTGCGGAAGTACAGTTCGGGGGTACTCCTTGAAATCAAAGGCTTGGGGTGAGTATCGCTTGCCAACTTTGCAAAAGGAGTTTTGAATTGACGAGACTTTGTAGCCAAGTTCACTGTCGATGATGTCGGCGAAATTGAATGGAACGACACCTGCGCATCGAACCTCATCCTCCCCAATGGGTACAAAGATCTCTTGCTATCTCTGGTTGAGGAGCAGATGCTCGCTGAAGATGGCTTTGATGATTTCATCGAGCAGAAGGGTACGACAAGTATTCATATGGGTGAAGAATGAAGGACGTAGGCTAATTATGACCAGGCCAGGGCTTGGTTCTCCTCCTCAGTGGCGACACAGGTGTTGGCAAGACACTGACAGCCGAAGTCGGTAGGTTTCCTGAACCCCCATGTTATTTGGCATAACGCGATTCAGCTGACAGTCTCTCCAGTGGCCGAAAAGATGCGCGCTCCTCTATACGCAGTCAGCGCTGGCCAACTGGGATTCGACGCCGAAGAGCTTGAGGCAAGGCTGAAGCTAGTGTTAGACATCGCGTCTAAGTGGGACGCTGTACTGCTACTCGACGAGGGCGATGTCTTTCTTGAGAAGCGGACGACATCTGATCTTCACCGCAATAGATTGGTCTCCAGTAAGTTGCTCTTGAACCACTAGTGGACTCTACAAAGACCGCACTTTGAGAGCTAACATTGTCCAAGTCTTCCTTCAACTTCTAGAATACTACGCAGGCACTCTGATCATTACCACAAATCGCGCTGCAGTTATTGACGAGGCAATCAAGTCGCGCATTCACATCAACATCAGGCTTCCCGGGCTGACTATCGAGGCCCGCAAGAGCCTTTGGGAGAATCTGCTGAAGGAGAACAAGATTAAGCACGGTCTTATCGAAGCTGACTTCCAGTCATTGGCAGAGGTTGATGTCAATGGAAGGGAGATTAAGAATGCTCTCAAGTCAGGCATACTCATGGCACGTAAAGCAAAGGAGCCTGTATCGATGACTCAACTACGGGTTGTTTTAGATATTCTCACAGCATCAAAGACCACTTAGATGTACACATAGACACCGTTAGTCTCAGTCATAATGTTGTTCACAATGCATGCAGTTATGCTATGCAATTGCAGACGAGATCGTATCCTGAGTGTAATGACTTCATATCAATTATATCTATAGAGCCTCAAGTACCCCTTAATCTTTATCTATGCACGATGTCAACAGCATGGTGCAGCAGTTTCATGCTACAAGACAAGCGCAGTGACCACTTGGACATGTAGAATACTGGCTCACGTTTTTTCGTCCCGATGAATCTTAGTCCATGATACTCTGAGTGATGTCATAATCTTATGGAAGCTCATTGGGACTTGTGCTACATTCCATGAGGTAGCCGCAAACATTCGAATACCTAAGCTCTGCATCCACTTCATGCGTACTACGTGGGAACGCCAAGTGATGGACGATTCCCCTAAGTAGAACCCAAGCACTAACGTGATGCCTTCCGTAGCCCCTTTTTCTCAAATCCCCCAATATCTATTAATTGATCAGTCTGTGCCATCTCCATCTTCAAGCTGCAACATTGCCCTATCTGAATCTCTCAGGCCGATATCTCTTCAACGCACCTGATGGCTCTCGCATTGCCATCTAGACCTTTCTCTACGAGATTGTAAGCGCTTGTACCCTTGTGATCAACTTTCGTCTTTCGGCATAACCCGACCGTCGCTCAACTTAACTCTTTCGGCAGCGGACTTTGTCCCGCAATCCTGGTTCAGTAATCTCAGTCTTCAAATCAGCATTTATCGTCACCCGCAGTATCGTCGAAAGGTTAGAGGTAAAAGAGGCTCCAAACGTAGGAAGACCAGAGTCCCGTCACTGCCGTAATTGCTGTCGCACCAATGGTAAGTCTATCTGGTAGCCAGAGCTTTTTGGGCTCGTAGATGTAGAAATCATTCTATAGACAGAAGTCACTAGAACTTCTGTAGGGCTGCTGGGATTGGAAGAATCTTATTTGTTGCATGTCCAGTTAGCACCGCAGTAAAGCAACGATGGCAATAGTGAAGAGTAGTCATGACCGAAGAGAAGGTGTGCTGGCCATGGAAATGGTGGCGTTCTGAAACAACTCTGGCAGGACTTTCAGAAGTGAACCATGGTTAAAGGTTTCTTTGGTAGGCCCATAGATTGCAATGAACTAATCGTAGGTGGCGTTCTTCACCGTTCTTGTGATTGCTTCAGTAGAAGATGCTTTGTTCTTAGACTCGTGGAGCTCATGTGTCTCGGTGAGTATCGCAGACCCGACCATCAAGAATGGCGCACGCCAGTGGGGATTTTGAGTACGGCTGGTTGAAGACTCATCGTTCGCGAGAGCAGTGCTCCTGTTTCTAGTTATGGTATACGAGAACTTAATTGAGAATCTCAGTTTGCGACAGGCACCTTTTAGCACAACTGGATTCTTGAGGCTCTGTTGAAATACAAGTGAGAGTTGCTCGGGAGATATATCGGGAGTGTCAGTTGGAAGTTGAAACAAACTCTTGGCCATCAATCTGCGAGTCCTGGACACCTTACCCTTATCTTCGATCATATAACTTCTTCACACTCCGAAGAAGTAAATTGGGAACTTCTCTCTGTAGGAGAAACTGTCATACTTGGCACCCACAAAGCCACTACTCCCTAGCCTGTTTCAACAATATAGAACAGGCTGAATGCAAGTGAGACTGGACTTGCTATTGACGAATCACCTGTCGACAACACCACACTGTCCGGCAGCCTACTTGAACATATTGCTTCAGCTACCATACACACGATATCAGTCAGGTACTCGTGGTCACACCATTACGACATTTGGTATGGACCATCTGGAGTTTGGACGCATGATCTGGCGGGTTCTGGCTGACACAGTCAGCCTGGGTTGCTGCTTGTGACCTCTTCACGTGCATTTCATGGTAGTAGCATTTCATTAGATGTAGTTGCATGTAGGCTATTGACATCTTGGAGTCGATAAATGGAGATCGATCCATGTGGGCTATCCCACGGATCGGCCACTGGCACATTACCCTCGGTAAACAACTAGAAATAAGCTGCTGTCCGGGCTATCCCACGGATCGGCCACTGGCACATTACCCTCGGTAAACAACTAGAAATAAGCTGCTGTCCGGGCTAGACCAAAACTTTCTTCTAGGTGAGATCACAAAGGGGATGGCCCATTGACCACGTTGTCGTGAATACCAAAGTAGCTATGAGGACAAAAACTTCGAATCATAAAGCCCGCTGCGTTTGCGTAGCTCGACGGAACATGTCTCGACGGCCATCTGGTTTGCGACAGTGTTGAAAAGTCTTGCGGATCAAGAACATCAAATGATGCGTACTCTACCATTCTAGCATCTACTTGCCGGCTTCACGACGATCCGGTATGTGGGCGCGCGACTCCTAGTCGAAAGTCTGTTGATCAATATAACAGGCTTTTAAGCTTAGATGGCGAGATGAAGTGACCGGCCGACCATGCTGGAAATTGCATCGCCCGAGCGCCAACCGTCCCCTACAAGTCCGCAGGGCCCAGTATTACAAGCACAATATCCGGTGGGATTGACTCGGGGTAGGCATTTAAGGTTGCCTCACCTGTAGATTAAACAGAGCCCACTCTCTGCCGCGCCCCTTTCAAGCGCTGCACAGTCGGGAAAGGCCAAGCTTTCGAGCTTGACGGGGTCATTTGCCCACCACCGTCTCAAGTTCATGAAAAGCTGTCTATCTCCCCGTGGAAGGACACTCCGGACGACGTCAAGCAATGCTAGCGGAATCGAGTAGATGAAGCCAGTGCAACGCGTAAAGAGAACCGGCAGGAACCTCATTCAGGGGCGAGAGCCTTATGGTTATTAATCCTCCGTTCCCTTTCCTTCCATGGTGCAACACGGCCACCAGCAGAAGGGGGATCGCTCGTAGTTCAAACTGCTGATCCCCGGGCTGGCTAATGCGCGCTTGCGCTGTGCAGCGGGTGGCGCTGTTTGAGAACGCGCAAACGAACACGATCGACAAACGGCAGAAAGGATGGATTATCATTCGTGATCATCAACAATTGAATCTCAACCGTAAGGCGTCAACGAAAAGGAAGCAGACATCGGAAGGTTTGACAAAAGCAGAGCAGAGTTCTGGGGGTGAGTTCGTTCGTTCGAACTAAATTGAACGGGGGAGCCAATGGTCTGTGGAATTTCGGTTGATTAAAGGTTGGTTTGAGCTTTCGCCCCAGCTTCGAGAGGAGCTCTCTTCTTCAGTCTTTTGTGCATTCGCGCATCAATTTGTCAAATTAACTTGGCTTTTGCAGGTTGGTCTTCTTGGCTGGAAGAGTTCAACCTTTTCATCACTCTCCCTGGGTAGGAACTTAGGTTCCCCGAACTGGCTTTTGCGCCCTCAAGTCAAACCAGCACACCCTGGAAACGTGACTCGCTGACGATCGAAATGCGGAGGATTTTCTTTCACCGTGCCAGTCTGAAAGACTTCAAATGGACTTGAAGGAGCAGGCTTGCGAGATTGATTGGCGGATCTTGAGGGTAAAAGGGGCCGTTTGACGTGCAATCCCCCGTCACCAAGAAAAGCTCAACCCGGGACGGCCGATCTAATCTTTCAGGCACTGGCGGCCACGGCGTGGGCGGGGACGAAAGACATTCTGAAACGGTGCGGTTCTCACCTTTGGCGAAGGAACCATGTCGATGTTGAATGTTGACTAAACATCACCCCTGGTCACGTCGAAGACACAAGCCTCTAGGAGACTGATGAGAGGAGAACTGAGCCTCCTTCCAGCCTCAATCGGGGAGGAGGACAATGGGAGACTAAAAGAAATCGAGGAAATGGTCCCGGCCGGGCCGCCCACATCGGCTTCGAAGCCGCTGGAGACTTTGAGTGGAAGCTGGCGAATCGGGGGCCGGAAAGACGGCAGACAGCGGGACGTCTTGGCGGGAGAGACGGGGGCCGGGCCCCCCTAGAACCCTGAACCCTTGGCTGAGGAATGCGAGAAATGGTAGGGTAGCGAAGCTGGATGGCACGCAAGTGGCTTGAGGTTGTAGGGAGAGCAAGGGGAAGGGCGGAGGGTTTGTCGCACGAAGTCGTTTTCGGACCTCTTGGCAGACAACTCTGAAACTGAGAAACATCGGCGCCAGTGTTCCATTACTCGCCTCTTCTTGCCTCGTGCTGCCTCCTCGGTTGCACTTGTCCGCATTGTTCGTCTCTTGGCGACAGGCAAGGTTTGGAAAGGTTGCGGACTGCTCCTCCAGTCTCCTCCGCCAAGTAACCTCAACCCACACGGAGAGGAGCAGAGGAAAGGCAAACAATCCCAACTTCTCTCTGCCAGACTGCCCCAATGCCCCCAGAGCCAGGGATGGCACAGTGAATGGGTGGTGTGGGTGTTCGCAGCAACAGCGCTTCCTGACGCAATGATATGGACAAGACAGCGGCTGCACGGGCTCTAGACAGGCCCAGAGGAGCTGGCAACGTTGCAAGGGTGGATGGAAGAGACGAGACCAAAAAGTAAAGACGTCCCTGTTTCTTCCTTTTCGAAGCCCTCTTGGAGGTTCTTCTGTACGTTAACCCTTCACGTCGTTCGGCAACCAACAACTCTGGGAACGTCACTCTTCCCCCCTCCTTTCGATACAAGGCCAAGATGACTTGAAGCTTCTTTCTTGAATTCGCAAGTTTCCCTTCGTCGCCTTCTTCACCTTCTTTACCTTCTCTTCGCGGGCAGTGCCCTTTTCTTTTCCATTCGACCTCCCTCTCAGCTGCGCTGCTTCATCAAATCTGTGTCTCGACGACCTAGTTTCATACCTTTGTGACTTTTCCCTCGACCGTAGACTCGGATTTATTAGCACTTGATCAACAATCAACAATCCAACCTAACTGTTTACTCAATACCAAACTCAAAATGGTCTCTCCTATGGGCACTCTCAGGAGGTAGGTTATTAATTCTGAAAGCACGAATAAGTAATAGCGAGACTAAGTAACCGCATAGGCGCGCTATTCGCCGCCCGAGATACATCAGAGACGATCTGCAGATTGAGGTCCGCGATGACAAGGGCGAAATCTCATCCGACGATGAAGATTCCCCCTCGCCCAAGAGCACCACATTTCCACCCGGCGCGAGACCAACGGCGCCCCCTCCGCCACCAGCGGTTGGAGTGGCTCCGCCTGCCGTGCTCAACCCCGCCAACCCGACGGATACGGAGAGCAGCACATCGAGCGATTCCCCCTCGCCCACGTCCACCGAGTTCCCGAGACCGACTGAGCCTCCGCGTGGCCCGCAACGTGGAGAAACCGGAGCTACGCCTTTTTCTTCCTCCATTAGCACCACGACTGAATCATCAAGCTCGACTAAGACTCTTCCCACTGCCATCCCGAACAGCCGCAGCACCACCAGCTTCGATGCGCAACCGACAGGGGGTACGACTAGGGGAGGCAATGAGACGGGCCTAGGAAACGACAGGTCTGATGACATTGGATGGACGCCGACTGCAATCGCGTTTGGGACTATTGGTATGTCATCTCACTACTCATCACTACCGTCGAGGGTCGAAGCTGCGTTCGATTAAGACCTGATCTAACCGCACTCACAGCCATCGCAGCCCTCTTCCTCGTCATTGGCGTCGGCATCTGGTGGTGCCTCCGCTACCGTAAGCGCCGTCAAGCCCGCCACCTCTACGAACGAAGCATCTCTCCCGACAATCATCAATACTGGGATCCCTCATCAACCTTCTCACCTCCCACCATGCCTGCCACCCGTCCATCCCGCCGCTCACCCTCAAGCATCTTTGCCGAACTCATGGGCCACGCCTACGCCGCAGAGAATGGCAGCGCAGGAAACGGAACGTACGGTAACGACCGCAACTCGCTTACACCCCAAGGCTACCTCGACGAGAAGAGATATGATCCGGCCCGCCAGCTCCCGATCCTCGAGCCCGCGCCCGTCGCTCAGCCCAACGTCCGAAACTCCATCGCCAGCTGGATCCGCCGCCACCACCCGCTCAAGTTGAACCCGATGTCCGGCCGGAGCAGCATGTACTCCACCCGCAGCGGCTTCGGTGCCAGCACGAACAATGTCAACGCCCCGCCGGTCCCGAACGTACCAGACGCCTACCGCAGCACCGACCAAGTGCAACAATCCGGCCTTGCCCCTCCGCCTCAGCAGCGCTATGCGCCGTCTAGCCAATATGACACCGGAAGCCCTTCAACCGACTACAACACCAACTCCCTCTTATCTCTGTACCAAACTCAACCACCCCAGCAACCCTGTCAACAGCAAGCCCCGACAGCCCCTTGGCTTCAGGACCCACCGCCAGTCGTTTTCGGCGAGCGCGGCGTCTCCATGGCCCCGACCGAAGCGACCGAAAGCACCTGGCGAAGCTGGGGCGGCGGCGTTAACAACCCGCCTCAGCACCAGCAGCAAGCGCCGCCCGAGACTCCGCGCAAGGGCTGGATCGAGAAGTGTATCAAGTTTGGAGGTCTGAAGTAATTGGGCTTGTACAAAAGAGCAAAAAGAATATGGGTTGCTACGACTAGTTACTTACACCCCCACGCCTGCGATACCGCAAAAGTCGATACCATAGTGTTAAATACCTGTTTCGAGTGTGCATATTGAGCGAACATACCAAACCGTACATATAAAATTGAGATTCTACGAGATCTGATGAGACTCGTTGACAATGATTTGTCTCCCCAAACTTACCCGGGAACGTCATTAAGTTGTCATTGGTAGTAACACCAGCTGGGCGTGCCTTAGATGTCATGAGACTACCATGATGCAGCCACCACGGGCGCGCCACTGCTGATTTTCAATGAAGCCACCAATCAACACGATGTTGGATATGTGTCAGACGATCATCATCACTATCACAGGAATCTAGCTGGCTGAAATCAATCGCTCGGGAGAAGAATCAGGCTGTCACCGAATATGTGGCCTTTGGCACCTCGCACCTCTCACCCTCGCCGCGACTTCACCTGGAGCTTTAGAAATTATCCTGAACAAAACCATCAACTCTATAACCATCTGCATAAACATTCGCTTTCTAGATTTCCGTCTCGTCCCTTACTTCGTAAGTCTCGGATATCATCATTCACAGCGATCAGCTAAGTTACTCGAACCAATGCTAATAACCCGGTTTTCGAAGTTGCCGAGAACTCCAGATATGTGTAAACAACGATGGCGAATGCATTACTCTTGCGGCTGTGGCTATTATGAGACGGAATGGCAGACTATTCAGTGCAGCAGGACACGACTTCACATCAACACCACCATCCCAGGTGACGCCGGGATCTGCATGGCATGCGATGAAGACCCAGCCTAAGCAGCGTTGCGATTACATGTACTATTGCACCTCACGACCGATTTGGCCGCTCCTTCGTCGTGTTGTATGGGAATCAGACGTGATTTCAAGTCATTCATATTGACTGAGGCCAAATACTTCAGCAGGTGTTTTACGAAACCTTCATAGTCACCTCACTTCGTGCCAGCAATACAGTTCCCCATTGTGTACGGTCTCTGCCCATTCAAGGCAGCCCTCAACTCCGTCTCAAAGTCTTTACACCAAGCTTCCTCTCCATAAATAGGCATCCATTCCAATTTCTCCCTTGCCACAGTCCCCTTTGTCTTGCGATGCCCAGCATACCCAGTCTCAGCAACATCCATATTCCCAGCACACGTCTCCGCCGCCTCCTCAAGGCTGACGTTCCTAACAATCTTCTCCCGCGGTCCGTCTTTCTTGGGAAGATTTCCAGTGGCAAACGCGATATCAAGACACTTTCGCGGGATATCAATCGTCAACGTCCTGCCCACAACTGGGAACATAATCCCCTTCTTGCCCTTGGGAACATTGACCCCACCACGCTCGATGATGTCTAGAACACACAGAACGTAGAGGTCTGCAAGGTCGGAGACGTGAACGTAGTCGATACAGCCCGTCTCATCACCCAACGTCAATCCACAGCCGTTTTTGAGCACGTAGCCCGTCATTATGGGGATCATCAACCCCGCCTTGTTGAAGAGCCCTGAGCCGGGCCCGAAGATGCAAGGTGATTGAATACTGACTGCGTTGACGCCGAGTTCGTCCCCGACTCGGAGCACGACTAGTTCTGCGGTTCTTTGAGGGTATGGATCTTTGGCGTCTTCGGCTTCCTCAAACTCATACACCTTCTCGGCAAAGGCGTCCTCATATTCAGCATCTGGCCTGTTCACCCCAGTCAAGGGCTTATCAGCGATATTGGAAGCGCCCGACGTGTGAATGATCCAGACCGGTCGTCCTCCGTTCCGATCCTTGCTTTTAGCGAGACCGCGAACGAAGGCCTCTGCCGAGGGCGGGTGAAACCCCGAGCCTGCGTTGATCACGATGTCATGCTCAGAGGCAAGGGCTGTTAGGGCCAAAGTATCGTCGTACGAGACAATGGACACAGGCTTCACAAGTGAACCATGTGAGTCCGTAAGTTTTGCTGCGCGGTCTGGGCCGCCGCGGACTGGTATCGTGATTGGAGAGGAAGAGGTGATGATAGAGGTGAGAGAAGGGTGCTTGAGGAGGTGGTGGAGGACAGACCCGCCAACGTAGCCGGTTGCACCGCTCAGAAGGATCTTTGGTGGCGGGTTCGAAGCCGTCATGATGACTAGGTAGATGAGAAGCCAGTTCTAAACTAGCAGTTCAGGACAAATGAGGTGGCCGGATCGTCTAGAGACTAGGGCAAGAACTCAACCTTCATATAGGTAGACGGACACACCAGCTTCAAAGATGACTGCAGTGGAGAAGACATCCTTCGGACTGGAGGGGCTCCTCATTGTCCCTCAACATTGCAGACCGCTAGGAATGCTCACAGACACTCAAAAACACTCAACCAACAGACCCTCGATTCTTGGCGCCGTTGAAGAATCCATGGACCCTGGAGACAATCGATCAATCACCGCCAAGGGGCCGCCGGACCGGACTCCGCGCTCCGCTCGCGCGACCCAACTCTACAAGCTTTTGTGTCATTGCAGTACGTCTTTCTCCACTTCCAGGGGGTTGCACTTGCTGGTTTAGGATGGTGTGATGCATGAACGTTGTTGGTGAACCAACAGGTTGAGCAGCACCAACAATCACTTGGACTTTCCCATGACCAACTTCCACTGTAGGGAACATTTCGGGCATCAATTTGGTAAGCTCTCCGCTTGATGTCGTAAGATCCCGAGCCCGAGGTTTGTGGGATGGTAAACCTCGTTATGATTCGCCGAAGCTGGTTCAAGGTTTCGGATCGCCTAGAGTTCGAGCCTTATCCTGAATGTTTGATTAGAAATCGGACCTCGCTTCGATAACTTTGTGAACTTGACGTCCATTCTAGCTAGTAGATGGCTTGTTTATAGTTCTTTTATTAACCCTCGCTATATGAAGCGGCCTCTTATAGGCCAATCTTTGCTGCAAGATAGTGAACCGCAACCTTCGTAGTAAGGGCCAGAATGCCGGTGGCAGGGATTTTGTCGTCATCCGAACGCCTCTGCCAGCCAAGCTCGAACGGCAGTCTCTCGTTCTCTGTGGGAGTTGACGTTAGTTTTCTCGAGGGCTTCAGCAATAGCAAGCTATACTTACCAAAGAAGTACTCAACCCAGGCCCTATTGGCGTTTCCATCGTCATAGTCCCCAAAGAGACCAAGATACATGGCCGTTTGCCCCAACGAGTTGGTGTATCCGTCAAGTGGCAGCTTGTACTCTGGGTTGATCTTCTCTGCACTCTTCTGCCTTGCAACGAGCGCCTTAGCGGCATCGCTGATGGAGATTGTTTCTGAAGGCCAGTATGACTTGGTCTCGTCGAATATCGTCTGGTTGAAGGACCAGTTGTCACCAAAGTAGATGTCCGCTCGACTCAACGACGCGTCGTGCTCAATAAGATTGTGCTTGTTCAAGTCGTTGAGGTGGAAGGTGTCTTTGTTTCCAGTTGATGATGCCTCGAGAGCTTTGTTCCCTTGGAGGCGGAAGAAGAGTTTTGCGTCCTCGCGGAGGTTGAGTCCGGTATGCATGCCTTCGATGAGTGCGTCGACGGAGATGTTTTGGCCGTTTCGGGGGAGGTAGCCGTGGTTTGCGAGACTGTTTAGAAGGGGGCACGGGGCGCGGCCTAGGAATGTTACCGAGGTTAGTCGTGATGTCACCTACGGACCGCTAGCTGAGTTCTCTACTCACGATCGTTCGATCCTGGTGTCTGCCACGCATGATCGGCATCTTGACACAGAACCGATGTTGTGAAAAGGGCGAAAGATAAAAGAGTGACGCGCATCTTGGCTAGGCAAAACCAACAACACGAACAAACGAACGACTGGTATTTAGATGCGAAAGGACGGACTAGACAAAGTGATCTGCAGGATTCAGCAACAAATGGGCATCCAGATTCTAGATATGTTTCTGCCTTGATCGGCGGCAAGACCGATTTTGACCGGGGGACACATCCAGATCAGGAAAGAGACACGGGCCACCCCGGGCTGCCCGATGGCCGGCTCCACGGCCGAGGACCGAATTGCGATGCGGGTGGATCGGGACCCCGTATTCTGGAAATTACTTCAACTTAAATTTAGTGCAACATCAGGCAAGCAGCCACACACGGAGTCCGAATTACTCATCTTTTTGACTCGTGATGATCCACCACCTTCTGCTTTCAGTATATATATGCACCTTTATATATGCGGTTGTGAGCGAATTCGGACTCTTGAGATTGCCGCTCTGCCTTTGGGGGCTGTTTAACCTATTCTTGATGCCGTCTATCTACCGAAAGTCCGTCCAGCGCCGTCGACGGCAGCCCGTTTTAGCTACATCAACACAAACCGTTGCATTTCATAGGTGTGGAAAGCATCAACAGTGGTCGCATAGTTTTTCTCGTGATGAATCAAACCTGTATTACCTTAAAGCCATGCACGCAAAGCTTTACGGCTTGGTAGTCTGAGGGCACGACCCTTACACATGGCCAAGTATGCGATGTTACACTGATCTTACACTACTATGTACGTCTGCACTTATGCGCCTCTAAAGGGCAGAGAACCAGAGGTCCACAAATTGCATATCGAATAAATACGTTATTGGAACGTCTACTCGTCACTGTTGAGCAGCAATATGCTAACATACTCGAATCAAAATGATGAGTGAGTGGCGGGGTGACATGCAGGCAGGCCGAGTGGGATTACATGCAACATGATTTACCTATTAACGTGCCCAGCTGCGCCCCAGAGCCCTCCCATTGCTACCCAATGGCCGTATCCATGGCCAAACACGCCATGCCCCCGCCCTTGAGGTGTAAGTTGTCGGTCTCGACAACTTCATGCCCCCCCCCCCCCCTCCGTGCCAACGAATCCATTTCCAGAACTTGGCATCGCAATGTCAGATCCTCTCTCCATCGCAGGCAGCATCGCTGGTATAGTCCAACTATCCGCATCCGTCTTCCAGCAGGTCTCCAAGTTCATAAAAGATGCCAAAGGAGCTGAAAAGACCGTCAAAGATCTTGCTGACCAAACCAGAAATCTGTCAGGGGTTTTGCAGAACCTTTCCCTCCTTGCGTCGTCACTCGAACAAGAGACCTCTATTTCGGCATTCAAGGCACATCATCTCCACGCTTGTCGGCAAACTCCACTCGCTGTCGAAAAACGTCTCGACAAGCCGTTGTCCGGATTCAACGAGGGAAGTAGACGGGAAGCAGTGTACCGCAGCCTGAAATGGCCTTTCTCCGTTGATGACACTAAGGGCCTGCTTGCACAAATTGAAGGTCATCGAAGCACTGTTTCTCTGGCCCTGTCTATAGACACTCTCGAGAGTATGTTGAAGTGTTTGGAAAAGCAAGACAGCATCATTGGAAGCATCAATTCATTGATTCAGAAAGTGGAGCGCCCAACCGCCATTCAGACCAGGATCGAGTATGATGAAAAGCGTCAAAAGATAATCGACTATTTCATGAAGGTCAAACCTCAGGTCAACTTACAAACGTCGAGTCGATTACGCCAACCCCTGACTGGACTATGGCTCACAGAGAGTAATCCTACTTTTTTGAAGTGGGCTGACCTCCCGCGCTCCGGTCTCTGGTTGAGTAGAATCCCCGGAGCTAGGAAGACGATTCTATCCAGCATGGTCATCGAGAAAACCCTACAAAAAAGCAGTCAATCGGTCGCCGTAGCATTCTTCTATTGTGATTACAAAAACATTGACGGCCAGAAGCTTCTCATCGTCTTAAGCACAATAGCCGTCCAATTAGGCCAAGAGAACCACGAGGCTTTCGGCATTCTTGAGGAATACCACGCGGGGTTGCAATCGGCAAGTGGTCTTAATGCAGAACCTGAGCCAAAAGATCTGCTTGATCTGATATTGACCATCATCTCGGTGTACGCAAAGGTCTTCATTGTCTTGGACGGGCTTGACGAATGTGGAGACAACGTGGCGGAAGTAGCTGAAGATATCAAATTCCTTTTTGAGGCATCGTCATCCGCCAGCATTGCAGTGTTCAGCCGAGACGAGCCGGTAATTCAAGACGAGTTCGCAGCTGAGTTCGCTCATATCGAGATTGCGGCTCATACAGAAGACCTCGATATCTACATCCGTGCCGAGATGGCCCACAGAAGACAACCGCACAATCTCAGCATCCAGAATCCGCTATTTGCCGAAGAGATCCGGCACCAGCTTGTCAACGGAGCACAAGGAATGTGAGCTCAATTCCACTCTCTCACCAATTTGCGATACTTAATAGTTCCAGGTTCCGATGGGCATCATGCCAGCTAGACTATCTCTGTGATCCGAGTACCAACCGTGCCCGGCGGGAAGCTCTGACAAGGAAGCCCCTTGATGGCCGCTTGTACTTTTGGGGGGTTGGAAGCTGTCAAGATGCTTCTTCGCAGCGGCGCGGCGGTGGCCTATACTAATGAGAAATGGACACATCGGAACGCCTTCACAATTGCGGCACCTCATCCTCTCATCCAAGCATGGCTTCTTGTTGGTAGATTTCAGGATCAACAAAGATTGTGTGCTGATTCAATTTGGAAGCGCTGCGACCCAGAAGTCGGGTATTGAAGTGGAGGCTTTAAAGTTGAGTGGAAGCTAGTAGGCACGAACAAGCGGCTCAGAGGCGAGTCTATGCTTGACCCATTCAACAAACGTCACCGCCTCAAAAGATGGGCCAATGGCCGGGTATTGGTTCGGTGAGTCACACCAGGATTCCACTGAGAAGGTTTCCACGGCGATGATGATATGTCATGATATTGATTCTCCGTTGTCATATCCTACCTTATGTCATGACTGTCTGCCTTTTGGGCATCGTTTTTTAGACATGGATTGGTGCCACGCCTGGCGTTGATATCAACTCTTGATTAGCGCGGTGTTAGCCACTAATCAGGAGTTGATACTAACGTCATCGCAAGCAGCATACACTACTGACTTAAATCGAGTGTCACAATTCATGCCATGTTAGTAGTGTTCCGAGAAAGGTCTCGGCCCAGAACGTCCTCCCTATGCGATTACGTTCGCTCATTGAGCAAACCGAGAGTCCGTTGCAAGGGTGACCCTTCATTCCTGTCGAAGTCAGAGGATTTGAATACAGTAACAGGCTAGTTGCACTCACGTCCCGATGCAGAACGATTCATGATGTCAATCATTTCATCAAATCGCCGTCTTGTCGTAATTTCTGGCAACACCACGGCCTTCTGATGATACAATACAACTTTCCAGGCGATCCGAGCAACGCTAATGTGTGGTGGTAATATGACGTGACGAGAGAAACCCAGTTGACATGACCTGAAGACGCTGGCACCCTCCCACCGGCCTCATGATGCGTGGGCATCGTAAGTCCCGTTCAAAGCTCAATCGGTGTATGTCCCTATGCCGAGACATGAGACATCGAATTCGCCTTCTTTGCCAAAAGTACTTACCGAGCCTCCAGATCCATCGATGAGGATGACCTACCTACTGATTTCAGATATAAATCCAGGCCTTCAAGGCTAACCACCATCAATATGAAAGTCACAACGGCACCGCATACATAACTCGAATAACAGCACACTCTAGCCATTTTTTCTTTGCACCTACATATGTTACACGAGATTTAACCACCGCTATCATCAATATATCAGAAGATGAAGACTCAGATTACTATCTTGACTTTGACTGCCACCGCACTCTGTAGTCCAATTCTCCTAATCCACCGCGCCCAGGTCGATACCACAGTTCAACTCCAGAGCCGCCAGACCGGAACAATAGCAAAAGAATACACGCAAGGAGGCTGCCGTGATGTCATCTTCATCTTCGCCCGGGGTTCTACGGAAGTCGGAAACATGGTAAGTCCCCGCCGCGCTTCGGAGTCCCGTGTCCAGATAAGCCTAGACCGTATTCGCGATGTGCATGAGGGGGAAACGCATATACACATCAGATGACTGACGTCAAATCTTCCAGGGGTCGACCGTTGGACCTCCGACTTCAGACGGTCTGAAGAAAAAGTACGGCGAAAACAAAGTGGCGACAGAAGGAGTTGATTACGCCGCTGGTCTCACGACCAACTTCCTCCCCGGAGGAGCTGATCCCGTCGGCGTTGATGAGATGAAGCGGCTTTTGACCGATGCTACCAATAAGTGCGACAAGTCAAAGGTCGTAGCTGGAGGCTATAGGTATGCATATTTCTGCGGGTTAATGCAATATCAACGACTTGAGACTGACAATGGAGTCTTCTATAGTCAAGGAGCTGCCACCGCACATCGCGCGATTGAGAACCTCCCTGATGCAGTCAAGAGCAAGATCTTGGGAGTCGTCACCTATGGTGACACCCAAAATCAGCAGGACAAGGGCCAGATTCCCAACTTCCCCAAAGACAAACTGAAACTCATTTGCAACGAAGGCGATAAGGTGTGCACTGGCACTCTCGATATCACGCCTGCTCACCTTGATTATGAACGCCATGTTCCCGAGGCAGTTGACTTTTTGACCGGAAAGATCGGCAATCTTTGATATCTACCACAACTTGCACACTAGATCGTCTTTGACCTAGTACCATTTGGCATATGTTTTGATTTAGAGAACATCACGGGGGACCACGCAGCAAGCGAGGATGGTGCTGGGATAGCTGGAATTACTGAATCATGTTTTAATAAGTCGACCTACCCCCTTTTGGCCACCCCCCCCTTTTGGCCACCCCATTTCTCCATCCCAGCTACCGTATTAAAACCCTACTTACAATTTTTAAACTACTATAATAATTATAAAAATCGTTTAAATATAATTCTTTTTTATATACTTATTTATTAATATATAATAATCTTATAACTATATTAAAAATAAAATTATTTAGGTTTTTAAAGCTATTAAGAGAGGTTTTTTAGTTAATTAAGCCTTAATTAAGTTCGGAGTTCTAAAGTTAACTCTTTATAATTATAAAAAAGGTTACTAAACGAGGGTAATAGTATTTATAAACTTCTAAAAGCTTTTTTTATAATAAGAAAATTAATTAGCTTAATAAGTTTATATTTAATATAATTTAAATATTATACTAACTTATAAATAGTTTAAAAAATTTACTAAGTAAGTTCTAAAATCTTAAAAAAATATAAATCTTTTTAAAAAAAAAAAAAACGCTTTTTTAAAAAAGAACTTATTAATTAAAATTTAGAAAAGTTATATTATTAATTTAAAGTATTTAAATAGAGTTATTATTAATATAATTAAGTTATAGTTTAGATTACTTAATATATTAGAAATTAGTAATATTAAATAGGCTAATAAGTATAACATAAATAAAATTAGTATTTTAAAAAATAAGGGATTTAATAACTTAGTTTTAAGTATAATAAAGACTATAATAATATAAAAAAAAAGCTTAGTTCGTATACTTAAGTATTTATAATTAAATATATTTTTATTAATAATTGAGCTATTAAACTACTAATTATATATAAAAAAAAGTTAGTATAATAATAATAGTTTTTATTTAAACTTAACTTTTATATTAATTAGGAGTTTATAATAATAAATAAGGGAATTAATAGGGACGCATAACAAATTAATACAGACGCATAGCTCTTAGGGACGTATAATATTCTCTACCTCTAATTAGTTTATAAAAATAGTACCTCTTTATAAAGGTAGTAAGGGTAACTATATTAATATAACTATTCCTATTATCCTCTCTAACTAAAGCTCTAGTTTAAAATTTCTAAAAATAAAAATACTATTATAACTTACGTACTCGTTTAGAACTACTATATTACCTATTTAAAATTTATAAATCTTAAATAAGCTAGTAATCTAAGCTTTTATAAATTTTAAATAAGTAAGGCTTCTTTTTATTATATATTTAAAATATATAAAAAGTAAATTATAATAACGTTTACTTAACTACTTTTTCTAATATAATTATAATAATTTATTATTATTATAAACTACTTTTTATTAGCTCCGTTTTTTTTAAATACTAAGCTATATCGGCCGTTTATTTATATAATTCCTTATTATCCTCTCCCTATTAAAAAAGCTAAACTAGCTCTTTATTTATTACTAAAATAAGCTCGATATTTAGTTTTAACTTAGCTAACTTATTTTTTTTATAAACCTAATTAATATTAACTTATTTTTATTCTTAAATAAGTAGCCTCGCTTTTTATTATTTATACCTTAGCTATTATAAGTAGTATAGGCTTAACTAGCTAACTAACCTTTTTTAAGTAATACTAGTTATAATAAAATAGGCTATATTTTATTCTTTAGCTTATTATAAAGGGATATAGTAATTTTAGGGTTAAAGATCTAGTAATATAGATTTGAAAAAGATATTTTTTAAAGACGTTACTAAGGGTATACCTCTTACTTATTAAAAGTAATTAAATTTAATATTTTAAAATAGATCTTATAATAATATAAAATACTTAACTTAATTAAAATAGTATAGTTTAAACTATAAAATCCGAAGAAGTTTAGGAATAGCCTCTTATTAAATAGTATTACTTTTTTTATAAACCGGCCTTATATCTTAATTAAAATAAAATATTTTAAAAAAAGTATTATTTAAAGTTCGCTTAAGTACTTAAAATAAGTACTTATATATTCCTAACTTATAAATACCTCGTTCTTTATATAAGCTTAGTAAAAGCGTAGCTCTTAATTACTAATTATATCCTATATAACGTTAATAAGCCGATATAAATAACTAAGATTATTTAAAAAATAACCCTTAATATTATTATTATTTAACTTAGTACTAGAAGTAATATAAGTATTAAAGTTTTAGTATTTTTAAATAAAGTAACGGGCCTATTATACTCTTAAAAATAAGTATATTATATAGAGGTATTAAAGGATTAGGTATTAATTATTAAACTCTTTATAAAGCTTAGTCTAAGCTTTTTTAAAAATATGCTCCGTTTTAATAAAAATAATAAGCTTCTATATAATTAATACCCTATAATAAGTATATAAAATAACTTAATTTACTATTTTAAACTAAGAGACGGCTAGTCTGCTACCGTTTTTAGTAGCTTCTACTGCTAAATCTAGCGGGCTATTAGCTATAAAATAGTTACTATTTTAAACTTAGGTACTATATTTAATAAGCGACCCTTACTTTTACCCGTCCCCGATATATACCCTAGAGTACTTATTATAGTTCCTTAGCTATACTTTCTTAAACTATCTACGCGGCTATAACTAGTTTATTAATTCTTTAACTCCCCGAT